GATTAAAAGTTTTAATCTATGCCCATGCAGCACTAACATTAATCAGAGTTAACTCGATTAATTTCACAGCCCTACTTATTATATAATAAAATTTTATATTGAAAACATGGTGTCAAAGTTACAAGGTGATCAATAAATGGAAGTGTGAATAAAGCAGCAGAAAACCAGTTGAATCTCTTCTAAAATGACTTTATTCTGGTCTCTCTCCAATCAGCCCCAGCAGCACCTTAAAATAACCTTCATCTTATCTGAAACCAAAACAAAACAACAGTCTGCCCCATGCTGAATCTAAGACAGAGACTCCAAAAAACTACAAAAACTTCTGCTCATATAATAATGATTCAACCTTTTAACAAATGTCTCATCCTGGTTACACCCCTGAAGGTGCTAACTTTTTTGTTAGACGTTAGAGTGTAACCAACTAACACTAATTAACCCTCTTTTTCTGWACGTATTTTTTCCAAGGATGTTTGAAGCATCCAGGTAATAAAACCTTACGTACTTTTACTYTGAACTTCCTATAAAAATTGAAAAGGTATGAAGTATGAACTTACTTGTGGTGTTCCTCAGGGTTCCATTCTTGGCCCACTGCTATTTTCTATTTACATGCTGCCTTTGGGTCAAATTATTCGCAAATATAATGTCTCTTTTCATTTTTATGCAGATGATGCCCAGATATATTTATCTATTGATCCTTCAGACCTATCGGCTCTAAACATCCTAAATTCTTGTCTCACCGATATTAAGGTCTGYAWGTTCGATAATTATTTATTGTTAAAACAATAATAAAACTGAGGTGTTGGTTTTGGGCCCTAAGGCTCATAGAGACCCTATAATTAAATTCTTAATTCTTCAGGTTTTAATTGCTCTCATGAGGCCAGAAACCTTGGGGTAGTTCTGGATTCTGATCTGAGTTTTACTAAACATTTTAATAATAGTATTAAAACTGGCTTCTATCACATCAGAAATATTGCCAAATTAAGATCAATYATCTCATTTMCAGATACTAAATCACTCATTCATGCTATTTATTTTTTTGTCATCTTGATTACTGCAATCATCTGTTTATTGGTCTGCCTAAAAAAAACCTTAAACATTTACAATTAGTCCAAAATACAGCAGCTAGAGTCCTCAGTAAATCCCAGAGGTTTGATCATATCACTCCTGTTCTAGCTTCTCTACACTGGTTACCTGAGGTTTTCAGGATTGATTTTAAGATTGCATTGATAGTTTTTAAATCACTGAATGGACTTGCACCATCTTATATTTCAGAATCACTCACACCACATACACCAGTGTGACCTCTGAGCTCATCGGGTCAGTCACTACTTATAGTACCAGAGTCAGACTACAGACAGAGGGTTATAGAGCCTTTTCTGTTAGGGCTCCTGTTTTATGGAATGCACTGCCACTTTATATCAGACAAACTTCTTCATTGTCCTCTTTTAAATCTCTTTTAAAAACATTTTATTATGAGTTGGCCTTTAATTGTTGACCTTTGCATGTTTTATTTTTGTTTTGTGCTATGTTTTTATGTGTTTTGTTTCTATTATGATGTAAAGCTCTTTGTAACTGAGTTTTGAAAGGTGCTATACGAATAAATCTATCTATCTATCATCTATCTATCTATCTATCTATCTATCTATCTATCT